CCTCAGAGTTAAAACGATCCTCACAGAGTTAAAACGATCTTCAGAGTTAAAACGAGCCTCAGAGTTAAAACGATCCTCAGACATTTGAAACTTCAGCCCGCGGCAGCTGCTCGGCGTTTCCAGGGTTAAACTCTTGTACAGTACGTTTGGCAGCAGCAGCCCTCCGTACGGCTGCTGTGCTGGAGCGCCACCTGCTGGCCGGCGGCTCCAGAGGCGTGGTGCTGGAGGTCCTCCCCTTCCTCCCTCTGACCTGCAGCTCTCAGCAGCATGCAGCAGATCATCAGAGCGACCTGCAGCAGCAGCAGCAGCAGCAGCAGCAGCTGGATCCAGGACGCCTGCAGCTGGATTCTAACGAGGAACTACTGATGCTGGACCTGCTTTTGCTTTTGCTCCTCTGAAGGACCTTCTGCTGGACTTTCTGCTGAGAGTTAGTGGAAACTTTGAGCAGGACTGTTTGTTATCAGCTGTGGACAGACTGCCGAGGGAAAGTGAGTGTCTGTCTGTGTGCTGTCTGTGGAGGCGGCCGGACCTGAGCAGGATGGTTTTCAGCTCCTGTTGTGTGTTTCTTTGCAGAAACATGTTGTTCTCCAGCCGAGTCCTGCAGCACTGGTGTCTGGCCGTCTTCCTGCTCTGCTCTCCGGCCAGCGGTCGGCCCATCGACGCCCTCAGCAGCAGGATGTAAGTAGATCTGCTTTTACTCTTGTTGTCTCAGAGACCTTCCTCCTGTCCAGCTCACCTGAGCCTTCACCTGGAGGCTCCTCAGACCCAGTCATGTGGTGCTGCTGGGCTCAGAACCGAACCAGACCTGCTGCTGATGGTCTGATGGCAGCAGAGGAAATGTTGTTAACGCTGTTAGAGCAGAAGGGTGGACTGCTGCGGAGCTTTTTCCACTTTGGAAAGATAAAATGTGTTGATCAGGCTTCAGAAGATCTGCTCTGAGCCGGAGCTCCTGAACGGCGTTTGGCGGGTCGGTTTCAGAGGTTCTGCTGCTCTGCCTGGTTCAGGAAACACTGTGTGATCTGCTCTTAACGGGACTTCGGAGGCTGAAGCCACCTGAGTGGAAAAGAAAACAGGAAGGTGATGAAAGCTGGCGACCTCCGACCCGCTCCGTCTGAACAAAGCTGCTTCTCATTATTGCAGCGAGTCGCCTGAAGCAGCAACATGTGCTGATTTATTGTTTCCAGCCTCCTGAAACCCGCTTCTGTTATTGATGAAGGTTCTGATGGATCAGGATAGTTGTTGTTTGTTCAGTCTCAGATGATCAGAGGTTCTGGACATCAGGGTTCTGGGCTTTTTGGGTTTTTGAAGAATCAGAAGGTGAAACTTTTCAGTTTTTACTTAGAAAAAATGACAATTAGACAAATGTTCAGTGATTTCAGGTCCAGTTCGTCTTCATGTGCTGAACCTCCATATGATTAATAAAGAGCCAGAACCAGAACCGTCCGGGCCCAGAACCTGGAGCTGCTCTGGTTCACATTATGAACAAGAACTGAACATTAAAGCTGTGACTCATCTGAGCTGAAATCTGACGCTTCTCAGACAAACGCTCAGCTTCGGGCTGCTGATCTAAAGCTGAGCCCGGTTCTGGAGCCTCACAGGTCCAAACCCGAAGCTTCCAGAAGCTTTACAGTTAAAGTCACCAGAGTTTTAATCTGAGCTCTGAAGTCTAAATGTAGGTCTGGGAAATCTGCTTCAAAAGGCTCCGAGAACTCTGAGAGCTGAAGGTTCTGGTTCTGGGAGACAACCGGGTTAGCTGGTTTGGTTTATTTATGCTGTTGTCCTGCAGAGTGGAGGCCTTCCAGGCTGCAGGGTGACTGGTTTAACTTTAGTTGGTTTGGTTGGTGTAGTTGAGTCGGTGGGTCGCCGTCCTGCAGCGCGGCGCTCCTGGTTCCGGCCCGGAGCCGCTCTACGGTAGAACAGCAGCAGATCGTCTTTCAAAGCGGCCGCTCTTCCTGAGAGTCCAGGAAATATCTGTATGCAGATAAACAGCCGCTGCTCTCTGGGGTGCTGGTCCGGTTCAGGATATTATTGTTCCTCAGCAGAAAAACAGACGAGCAGCAGAACCGGGCCTGTGCTGAGTGTCCAGGCTGAGCGGGTCCAGCAGGGCATCTTGGGAAGCTGAGTGTTTGTGTGCTCAGACACCTCCAGTGTTTGGCAGCGCCGGTTCCCAGGCCTCGGGCCGCCGCCTCCTGTTTGTCCAGGACTTAGGACTCTGAGTAACCGGAGCCCGGAGCAGAGCCCACAACTAAACAGAACCACAGCAGCTCCAGTCTGTTGCTCTGCAGCTTCTCCATCAACCGGCTCAGCTGTAGGTGAGTGAGCAGACGGCGCCGCCCGGTGGCCGCTCACAGACACAGCTCCTGATGGTGACACCTTCATCTGCTCACTGAGTTTGTGGTCAGAGTGTGACCTGTCTGGCAGCAGGCTTCCTGGTGTCCTGTGGCTCCACCTGAGCTCAGGTGATCACTGGGCGGAGCCAAGTGCTGCTCCAGGCTCCATAGCTCAGGGGTTAGAGCACTGGTCTTGTAAACCAGGGGTCGCGAGTTCAAATCTCGCTGGGGCCTGCAGTTACTTTTCAGCCTGAGAAGTGAACCTCTCACGTCATAACTGTGAAGCTCACAGCACAGCGCCACCTGCTGGCGGCCATGCTCTCAGATGAAGCAGTCGATACAACGAGACTGGAAATGAACCATAAAGGCTTTCATGAGTTCTGGCTGAGGAACAAGCACTGAGTCCAGTTTCTGTGCAGACAGCGCCACCATGTGGGAGTGTGATGAACAGATCTCTCACTATCAGTGTTACTGTTATTATTCTTATTAATATTATTGATGTTTCAGAACACTTCAGCGGTTTCCTGACTGCTGACTCAGCTCTGGTGGTTTCTCTAAACGTCAACAGGATGCTTTGTTCCAGAACTTTACTTCAGAAATCAGAGTCAGATTTGTCCCACGTGGACTCAGAGCCAGCGTCCTGCCACCTGGAGCTGTCCTGTCTTTAGTGGGCGGAGCCAGCAGGGGCTCCAGGCTCCATAGCTCAGGGGTTAGAGCACTGGTCTTGTAAACCAGGGGTCGCGAGTTCAAATCTCGCTGGGGCCTGACTCTGACTTTTAGACCTGAGATTAGACTGAACATGACCTGAGGGCTGCAGGTGGCGCTGCAGCAATCTGACACCATCTAAACCTCACTGAAGGTTTTCTTGATGTTCTGCTGTCAGCACTGATTAACATCAGCAATCTAATGATTAACAGTCTGCAGATGAGAACGTTCAGGTCTGAACGGCGTCCGTCTCTCAGACCAAAGTGAATCAGCTGCTGTTGTTTCTGTCTGCAGCTCTTTATCTGCTGCTTTCTACTGAAGCTTTGTGCCACCGTCCAAATAATAACAGAATAAAAGTGGCCTTAAAAGCCGAGGAGAACAAACCAGAAGCTGTCAGTGCAGGAGACAAACATGTTGAAGCAGCTGCAGTGATTGTGCAGACTGTGCTGCCCCCTGCTGGTCCGGCAGCGTTGCATCACCCACCACAAGTTCAGCTGCTGTTTGAGAAAATGCATTCAATTGGTGTCCACCAGGTTAAAAACGTTTTGATGAACCTTCTCAACAGGCAGCTCTCTCATGGTCCCGTCCTGGAGCTTCAGCCTCTAACTTCACCGTCACACTTTGTTCTGTGTCTCAACACAAGTTAAATATTTAACAGAATCTTTCATCAACACCTTTAAAGTGTTCAGATGCAGAACGTTTTCATTTCTTGTGCTTCTTAGTTTTATTTTCTTTCTGCCAACACAGACCAACATGTGGCAGAAGCTTTAATGAAGTTTGGTGTCCAGCAGCCTTCACTCAGCTTCATTAGAACCTGTTCTGGTATTTTCGGGTCGGTGCAGCGAGCAGACGTCTGACTGTGGACTCTCGTGTTTTGCAGAAAGCGCTCAGTGACTCACGCTCAGCTGATGCATGACAAAGGCCGGACGCTGCAGGACCTGAAGCGTCGCATGTGGCTGCAGGAGCTGTTAGACGAAGTCCACACGGCCGAGATCCGAGACCTTCCGGTCAGAACCACTGCTGGAGGAGCAGCGGTCAGCGGCGGCAGCAGCGGCGCCGGCGTCGGTCTGGGCATCCACCTGAGCACCACCGGCAGCACCCTGCACTCCAAACCGCCCGGAGGAACCAAGAACCTGCCCATCAGCTTCCGGCTGGAGGAGGAGGAGGGAACCAACCTGCCGCAGGAGACCAACAAGCAGACGTACAAAGACGGCGTCCTGAAGGCGCCCGGCAAGAAGAAGAAGAAAGGCCGGTCCGGCAAGAGGCGCGAGGGCGAGAAGAGGAAGAGGAGGGCGCGGTCGCTGCCCTGGAGGCCGGAGGACGAAGCTGGCAGCGGAATCCACCTGGAGTGGAGGTCGCTGCTCGGCCTGCAGAGGGCGCCACAGTGAAACGCCGTCAGACTCTGACGAAGGTGAGTCCACACCTGGTCAGCCACAGGGTCCATACCAAGCTCTTAGATCAAACGTTTAGACGTTGAGCTACTAGTGTTTCCACCAGACGGTCCAAACAGTTGAAAGGTTAGAACCCTCCAGAAGCTCCTGAAGGTTCAGGAACGTTGGAGTCCTGCAGCGTTTCCTGCTGTGATGTTTGAACCTGTTGTGAACAAGCTGACCTTTTGCTTTGTCTCTGTGTTGCAGAACCCTTCGACTCTCGGACTGACTCCTAAATGCTCACGTTACAGACGTGTGGTGATCATTTGGAAAGAAATTGGAAAATATTTATTGTCTGTAAATATTCTAAATATAGCAGAATAGAAGCAGAATATGATAAAAAAAACAACTTATTGATGCTCTGCGGAGCAACAGATTTTAATCTTTGTGAATCCTTGCTTTTTCCTTTTTTTAATTCCAATTATGTCAGATTTTTTGCGGTAATTTATTTTGTCTGAATGGTGTATTTATTTTGTAAATGTATCGAGGTGCTGCTGACCTTCTATATTTTTGTACCATAATGCACTTTAGATATATAAATATAAATATATATACCATTAGTTTTGTTCATTGTTTTTGTGGTTGATTGAAATGAAGAAAAACGACGGTCGTCCTTCACTTCGCTCTGCTCAGACGTCCACTGTTTGGTTTCTCGCTGCTGTTTCTCCGACTGAAGCCGTCTGTTGTCCTCCACCTCCTGGTTCCTGTTTCCTCCTCCACCAACCGCCTGCTTCCCAACGCCAGCGTTCACATCTGTACATAAACCAATCACGGCTCGATATTGTTGTTTTTGGCACTTGCACTGAGATAAAGTCTGTACTGATGGATTAAACATTTGACAGTTTGCTGCTGCTGCCGTCTGTGTTTCATTCAGGCTGATGAAGATGTTGCTCTGGGGTCACCAAAGGACTTCGGGGCAGAAGCTTGAGGTGGAGGCTGCAAAGAGCTTCAAGCTACAAGCGGGTCATTGTTCACAGCAGCTGGAGTATTAATGTTGGTTAATATTTGTTTTACAAAACAGTTTTTCTCTCTAATTATAAATACATACTCCAACAAATACAAATGTGCACAGAGCAGACGGAAGCGTCATATAAGATGATATAAGATCACATAACAACACAGTATGAGCACATATAGGATGAATAAAATAAAAGATGATTCATATAGAAGAGCTGCAGGCGTCACTAAACACTCAGCGACCAACATTAGTGCTGATTTAAATTAAAAACCATGAAACCTCCTCTTATATCTGGACTAAATCCACACAAAGACAACAGAGACCGTTTGAAACACAGACTAGAAACCTTCATGGATGAAATCAGTTCTGTCTGAGGACCTCATTTCAAAATAAAATAGCACCAAATAAGTAAATTAATCGTGAATACTATAGATCAACATGTCTCAGGTGGTGTTTTGTCGCCTGCATCTTTTTCAGATTAAGATCATGTTAAATAAGTGATAAAAGCTTTTTCTTGTTTGTTTAAATGATAAAACAGGATGTGACGTCACGCAGCTTTGATGTTATTTATTGTTAAAATTTTCTGTTATAATAAAATATAAACGCACCAATGAGCCATAAAGTCCAGTTTTATTGCAGTTATTCGTCCATATTTAGTTATTTTTCTGGTATAAAAATAAAACGAGCTGCCGCTTTCTGACCGGAAGGCGGCGCTGACGAACCGGAAGTCCTGCAGTCTGCCGGATTTAAAGCACAGAAGAAGAAGCCGTTTCCACGTGAGTCCGCGGCAGCATGTCGCCTCCAGGAGGGAAGATCAACCGACCGAAGACCGTAAGAAGCCGTTTAACTTCACTTTAGCCTAAAATACAGTCGCTGAAACGTTTCTGTGGTTTTAACGGACACGACGCTAACAGTTAGCATCGACGGCTAACGCGGCTAAACGGTCCAGAAAACCGGACAGAAGTTCGGTTCGGTTAGTTTAAATCAGTTCAAGATTAAATCCGATCTGGGAAGTTTTCATGACTTGATTTGGTCTAGATGAAGAAGCTCCGATGTGATTAATTTAATGTTTTTACTGTGAAATGAAACCGTTTTCCTTCCGGCAGGTCTGAGGTCGGTGCTTTTAAATTCGTATTGAAGCTGCTTTAATGTGAGAAAACTGCAGCAGTCAGATCTTTCATTTCCTGTCAAAGTTCCTCCATCAGGTCACCTGAGATCAGCAGAACCAGGTCACTGATGGTTCCTTCTGACCAGTCAACCAGAAAACGAGTCGCTCAGTTTGTGTAAAACTGAAAAATACTGAATTTATCGTCACAGACCAGCTTCATGTCGTTCAGCTGAATCCAGCCGAAAACTCAGAAACGTTTCCAAATGTTTCTGTGAATCTGTGACTCCGTCCGTTCAGAGGAAAACCTCGACATGTCTTTGTGTTTTTCAGGAGTTGGGGAAGAAGCTTTTCAAGCGGCGGCGAGTTCTGAGCCGAGAGAAGAGGAAGAGGCATCAGATCGTTGGAGCGGTGGTGGACCAGGGCCTGATCACGAGCCACCACCTGAAGAAGAGGACGTGAGTCACCTTCGTCCTCCGCATCGCTTCAGCTTCACTTCAGCATCTTCACTCCGTCTGTTTGTGGTTTCTGTCGTCAGGTCGAGTCCCAGAGCGAACATCACGCTGTCCGGGAAGAAGAAACGCAAACTGCTGAAGCAGCTGCAGCACCTGCAGCAGGAGAAGGCCGGTATGGAAGGTCAGAGACGACTCAACTGCCTCCATGTTCCAGACTTCTCCTCTGTGCTCTGCTCATCAGCCGTAGAAAGATGTTCCACCATCTAGAAAGATGTTCCACCATCAGCTGTAGAAAGATGTTCCACCATCAGCTGTAGAAAGATGTTCCACCATCAGTAGAAAGATGTTCCACCATCAGCTGTAGAAAGATGTTCCACCATCAGCTGTAGAAAGATGTTCCACCATCAGTAGAAAGATGTTCCACCATCATGTAGAAAGATGTTCCACCATCAGATGTAGAAAGATGTTCAACCATCAGCTGTAGAAAGATGTTCCACCATCAGATGAAGAAAGATGTTCCACCATCAGTAGAAAGATGTTCCACCATCAGTAGAAAGATGTTCCATCATGCTGAATGTATCTCCAGCACCAGGCTCCTCTGTTCTTCTGAGGCTCTCTGAGGAAACTCTGAAGTCTAAAGTTGTTCAGAGAAGTTAAGAACTTCTGTCGTTTACTGTTCAGTTCCTTCGTCTCCGAGACGCTGAAATGTTCTCGTCTTCTGTCCTCTTTCTCTGAAGTGGAAGCAGCAGCACAGAAGAAGCAGGAAACGCCGTCGGCTCCGACCAAGAAGAAGAAGAAGAAGAAGGCGAGCGGCGGTCAGGAGGACGTGGAGATGGCCGACGCTGAGTGACGAGGCCGTTTGCTTCTCAGCTGAGACTCTAACGGACGACCAGGACGCTGCTGGTCGGAGTCTGGAGGACGACCTGACGTCTGAGGGACACGAGGAGATGTGGAGGACCGTCTGTAGCCAGAACGTCTGGAAAGTTCTGAACGATTCAAACATATAAATCAGTGTTCTGATCTGAACTCTTCTGGTTCCAGCTTCTGTCTGTGTCCTGGTGTGAAGGAAGCTGCTTGGCTTCAGCTGCTCGACCAGTTTTTATGTCTTTAAGAAGTTTAATGTTGAATTAAATTCCCTGTATTTTATGAACGTGGTTGAAGTTTCTGATGATCTTGGTTTTGGTCCGATTCAGTGAATTTCAGCAGCACGAGGTTCTGAACAGTGAGTCCGACTCGTTTTCTTCATCTGATGGTAACTAAAGGACGTCTTAACCTCCTGAACCAGCAGGTGGCGCATGTTCCTGAAACCAGGGAGACAGATGAACTCAGGTTTGATCTGAAGGTAAATTAAAAATGTGACGGTGGTTCAGCAGTTTGTCTGAATGAAGACAGAAATCTGAATTTAAACTCAGTCAGCTGTGTCCTGATGATTTAAACGCCGTCCTGACCGTCGCTGTGGGAGGTGTAGTCCATCTCTGAATCGATGCTAAATGTTCCTCAGGGTTCGGTTTTGGGACCTTCATCATTTATTTAGTATATTAATGATAAATGTGAAGCTTCCAGTTTGTTAAACTATTTAGTTGACTGATAGTTGTGCTGTGGAGGAGAGCTGGTCTGATGCTGAGAAGCTCACATTACATCTATGAGAACAAAGTGATATTTGGGACGCTGACGTGAAACATGATGAACAGTGACTGAAATCACGTTTCCTGGTGTGATAGAAGGAAAACCAAGTTGGAAGAAGCATAAAGGTTCTGTTCATTTAAAAACATGTTGATCTCAGTTCTTTATCAAGTCAAACTGGATCAGTCGCCACTGGTCCGTGGTTCTGCCACATGTTGGGTTGAGGTGACGGACACACACCAGACAATAACTTCAGTCGTTCTTCAGAAAAAAAGCCACCAGAATAGTCACTAGGTCCACTGATCCAGAACCAGCTCACTCTGTTCATCAGACCTCCAACCACCTACTGAGTTAACATAATCCGTTACCCCACAAGCTTTCAGTTCAGTCTCAGAGGAACATACGTGTTCAGAAACCAGCAGTCAGAACCAACGCTGAACGGACGGGCTTCAGCTAGAACACAGGAACATGTCAGACAGCAGGGACGTTAACGAGGTGGTCAAAGACGACCTCGTTAAGCTGCTGTTAATGAGACTGATTACAGTCCATGTGATCAGGATTTAATGTGAGAAGGTCAGTGTGTGTAGTTCTGATCAAAGTGTTCATAGGTCACATATCACTGTCAGAAGGTTCTGGTTCCTACCAGAGTTCAGCTTCTACCAGAACCAGACTCAGATCAGTCACCTCATTATCATTATTATTATTATTATTGTTATTATTATTGTTGTTGTTGTTGTTGTTGTTGTTGTTGTTGTTGTTGTGATGATGGTGATGGTGATGTTGTGGTTTCGTGGCTCTAGTTCGGGTCCTGAGCACTGCTCGGTGCTCTCCGGGTCTCTGGGCTTCATGGATCATCTCACATGTTCCTTCTCTGGTTTTCATACATTCAGATTTCATTCACTTTAAATCGTGTTTTTATTTCTTCCACTCTGGTCCACATCCGTCCTGTTCACTGGGCTTCAGGCTTTCTTTGTCCTCCACACTCTGATGGGATCGATACGTATCGATCTGTGACCGGGTGTTGATGAGACGCTGAAGCCGGCAGCAGATGTATCGATGATCAGCTGATTATTGATCAGGACCGTCAGCCTTCTGTTTTCTGCTGTTATTCAGTCTGCGGCTTTCCGGAGCTCCACTGCGGGTCTGAGCGGACCGGTCCGGCCCGGCTCGGCTCGGCTCGGCTCCTCTCCTCCCCCTCCAGAGGACAAAGACTAAAATGGGTCAGACTCCGGAGCGCAGCGGCAGATCTGCAGCAGCCGCCCTCCGCTGCAGCTCCCCCGGACACCAGCAGCAGCGCAGCGGCTCGCAGGCTTCCAGCCGCCGCCGGGACTCCACGGATCCGCGGGTCTGAGGATGAAGCGGAGCCGCTGATTTTTCCGCCGTTAAACCGGGAAGCGCCGTTTTGTGAGCCCGCCGGTTCCGTCCCGTCCTCCGGGAGGCTGCAGCTCCTCGCTGGGACCGGACCGTTTGGATGAACCGCAGCCGCCGGAGCCTCCATCACTCACCGACTCACCGCCGCCGAGGCGCGATGGAGGCGTCGCCGAGCTAATCCGAGTCCCGGTGACCGAACAGGTAGAACCGAAACAAAAGCCGGACTCCCGTCCAGCACCGCGCCGCTTTGTGTCCCGGCGGGGCTCCGGTAGAAGCATCCCGGTGGAGCCGGTGTGCCCCGGGCAGGTGCACGGACCCACCGGGACGCTGGTCGGTACCAGAGCTTCGGCTCCGGTTACCGGACCTCCGACAGGTTCGAGTCGGTTCGGTGGTTTCCGGCCTTCAGTCTCGCGCCCGTTCAGCCCGAAACCGCTCAACCTGTGATTAGCATCCGGAGCTAACAGGCTAACAGGCTAACGCTAGCTAGCTAGCTTAGCGTCACTGCAGCAGTGATGTTCACCGATGTTCTGATAATGTTCTGGTCTGAATCAAAGTAAATCGGAATTCTACAGATCAGTTCCTTTATTTTGACCTCCTGGTTCTGGTTCTTCTTTCGTTTTATTCCTTCAGATCAGAACAAAGTTCTTCAAGTCGGTTCTTTCGCTGCTCGTCAGTCTGCCGACTGTTAAAGGCTAAATGTGAAACATAAAAGTCTTAAAATATATATTTATTGATGTTTTAAGACTTTAATGTGTGTATGTGAGTTCATGTCTGAATGTTTGGTTCTGTTTTTAGTCCCTTTAGTTTAAACTCTGATCAACACAAAGTTCTTCATCGAATCTTTTTCTTGTTTTTTTTCTTTCACCTCCGTCAGTTTGCTGGAACATTAAAAAGCACAAAATTCATTATTTATACAATAAAAACTACTAAAGGGTCAATAATCCCTGTTTTCTGTGTTCAGGCGGGTTTCAGGTGTTTCAGGTTCTGATTAGCTCCAAGCGGCTAACAAGCTAACAACTAGCTTAGCTGTTAGCTTTAGCAAGCTAGTAATGTTCTGTACTTATACATTTATTTAATCTGACCTTTAAAACTCATCTTCTTTATGTTTTGATGGTTTTTCTCTGTTTTTTTAGCACAAAGAAAGTTCTGCTCAGTCAGCTAATGATAGTAATTAGTGACAGTTAATAGTAATTAGTCAGTTAATAATAATTAGTGACAGTTAATAATAATTAGTCAGTTAATAATAATTAGTTAATAATAATTATACAGTTAATAATAGATGTTTATTGTCTGTGTGCAGCATAAGAACTGTGCAATGAAATGCTCCAGTCAGCACGCGGCCATGTGCAGGATAAAGAATATCAGTATTTATAATATATCATATCAGTATGAACAGACAAGCAGCAGTGATAGAGACGACACACCTGAGGCAGGTGGCTGCTGCCTGTTCTCATGCTGCTGACTCGTGAGTCTCGTGTTCAGCCTCCTGGTTTCATCGGTTCTGGTCCTGAACCACTCACGTTGGACTGTGTTTCCTCCGTCAGCCGGCTGAGACCTTAAACTACACCGAGTTCATAGTTTGATGGTAGAACCAGAACCAGCGCCGCTCATAGAGACAACATGAATCTGTGTAGAGACGTTCTAAGCAGCAGGTTCTCCCTGAAAATAAAGATGTTTTCAGCATTGCAGTGTTTCTGGGTTCCTGTCAGGGCGGCTCGGTGCGGTCGGGGCTCAGTCCAGGTGTTTGTGGGTCACCAGGTGGGCTGGGCCGCTCCAGGTGACTCACGGCTGATAGCGGCCCAGATAGCGGCGCTGTAAAGCAGATTAGATGCAGTGACGCTGTTCTGTCCAACAGGAGGCTAAAGTCCAGACTGCGGACTGTTGGACCCAAAGAGCTGCAGATTCTGATGGAGGACGGTTCACCTGTTCAGCCCGGTGAGTTCTGCTCCGTGCTTCACCTTCATCCACAGATCCAACATCTGCGTAGCTTTACTAGCAGCTCACTGTCGCTCTGAGGATTCTTGGGTTCGGTTCGTGTGGAGCTGATGACCTGGTTCAGGTTCAGGAGTCTATAAATGGAAGCTCCTCCGTGGCCTCCTCCACGAGCTGCTTCCATTTATAGCTCTCTATTTTTCTCTCTTTCTAATTTGGCCGTCTTTGTGGTCTATTGTTGTCGGCGGAGACAGATCTGGGACTCTGGGACGGTTTGAAGGCTCCGACAGCAACGTCTGAACCGGAAGGCTGTCCTGAAAACAATCCTCACGGCTGACGTTCCTCTGTTCAGAGTTTAAAGCTGATCTCAAACATTGAGGTCCAAACAGCAGCTCTTAAATAGAACACATTCAAACATGGAGCAGATGATGAGTCAGAGAAGAAGGTTTCAACTAAATGAAGAGAAAACAGCAAACCAGTGAATCAGCAGCTAGAAGGACGAGAACTCAGAGATGTGTTCTGTCAGCAGGACTCAGAACCATGCAGACCCGAACATTCACTGATTGCTCATGTTACAGAACTGTACAGATCCTTAATGTCTTGTCTGTGCTGGTTCTGGTCCCTGTGGACTCTTTGTCTCGTCTGTCCTTTCTGTCTCTCTGAGCTCATGTGGTCTCCTCGTCCTGCAGATGCTGAACCATCTCCACGTCTCCAGACTTCTCTGCTCACCAGCTGTAGGAAGATGTTTCTGTCTGATTCATGATCTTAGCGCTTCTTTAGCAGGTCGGGGACGTAGTACCACACCAGGGGAGGCTGGTGGAGACCCGGTCCAGTGATGGTGGGATCCTAAACTCCTGCTTCTCTCTGCAGAACGTTTGTGTGGATCTTTGCTCTCCATCTCTGGACTCTGAAGTGTTTCTGATCCGAGTCGCTCCTCTGCAGCCATGACGCCGCCGGCCTCCCGTCGATCTTCGCCGATGCTCCGGCTGCTCATTTCCAGCGCCGCCGCGCTGGTGGTGATGATGTCACAGCCTGTGTCGGCGGTGGAACCGGAGACGTGCTTCTCCAGACAGCACCAGAACGCCATCGTCAACGTCCGCATGGCGCTGAACAGAGCCTCCGCCGCCATGGACGCCCGCGTGGTTCGGTCCGAGAGGGACTGTGTCCTCGCCTGCTGCTCCGAGGAGGTCAAACCAGGTGAGGAGGGAGCACTGGGAGCACTGGGGGCACTGGGGCACTGGGGCACTGGGCACACTGGGGCACTAGGGGCACTAGGCACACTGGGGGCACTGGGAGCACTGGGAGCAGTTTCATTGTTGTAGCAGTGGGGTGAGGAAGCAGCCCGTGGAGCAGACCTCTACAGGAGGAACCAGGCAGAACCAAACCGCTCCAGTTTACAGGACAGAACGTGACCCAGCAGCTGGTCTTCTGTCCCGTCGTGTCCTCACAGTGATGAACGTCTCAGAGTTCAGTCTGAGGAGCTTCACGCTGAGAATCCAGACGGCGGCTTTACAAAGGTGTCTGTCTGCTTCCGTCTGATCTGAGCTTTGCTTAGAACCTGCCTTCATCTCCCAGAACACGGGTTTAAAAACAGAACTGTGTTCAGAGTAAAATTAGACCAGCGCTGAGCTTTCAGATCCAGAACCTGCCTCAGCTCAGCTGTGGACTCGTCCAGAGGACCTGCTGATTTCACGTATCGTCACCGTCCACATTAAATCAGTTTATTCGTTGTTGCAGTGGATCAGCTGGCGGTTTATAAAACGGGTCAAACCCGTTGGATCTGGTCGAGCTTTGACTGCAGCGTCTGGAGTGTTCTGGTCCTGTAGCGAGCTGTGTGTGTCTCAGCAGGCTGTCGTAGTTTCACATCTTTACTGCTTTAGCCGGTAAATAACGGATCCTGTGGAGCGCCCCGTACGTTGACCAGAACTCCACGTGCTTCCCTTTTAAACTACACGTTGTTGCTCCTGTTCCTTGTATCAGAACGTGTATCACATTAATACAAACCACTGGAACCACTTCCAGCCTGGTTAGCGTTAGCGCCTTGCTAGCTTTAAATGTTCTGGACGGTTCTGAGTTCACCTCAAATAAACACTCAGAACTCCAAACCGGAGTCAACCTGCAGAACATGCTGGTGCATGTGCAACGCATGACGTGATGTCGCTGACATGTGGACCCGTGGTTCTGGTCTTTTGGTTCTAGTCTGTGTATCGTAGTGACGTCACAGCTCCCCGTGAGGCGCTTCAGGAGGTTTTCTCAATCATGTTTATATTCATATGTTGTTTCTTTACATTTGTGCTTTTTGCCCACGAAGCAGCAAACAGCACCGATCGGACCGATTCAATCCAGTTTTATTTGTATAGCGCATATTTACAACAACAAGTCATCTCATAGCGCTTCACAAAGACAGAAAGAGAAACACCCAACAATCCAAACATCTGGATTCTCTATAAGCTTCAGCAGTCTGCTGGTGGGACGGAACCGAAAACCCCCACAGGGGAAAAAAACCTCCAACAGAACCAGGCTCAGGGAGGGACGGCCATCTGCCTCCACCGGTTGGGTGGATGTAGGATGAATTATAACATTTAGTTTACAGTTAAACAAGTTATTAGAAGTGATTGTCCTTTTGTAACAGGAGGCATCATGGTGGGGCAGCAGGATGCAGAAGGTGAGGCCAGCGGCTGTAGTTCAGGAGCTCCAGATCCAGAGACATCCACAGAGAGAGCAGGCGCAGGAGAACCTCGGGGGGAGTCACAGAGTTAGTCATATGTAATGGTGATAGGCAACTATAGAAACATATACATACACATATATATAAAGAGGAGAGGAGAGAAGCCCAGTGCATCATGGGAATCCCCCAGCAGTCTAGACCTATAGCAGCATCACTAAGGGACAGCTCAGATGACTCCCAGCAGCTCTAACTATGAGCTTTATCAAACAGGAACGTTTTTAACCTGATCTTAAAGGTAGAGAGGGTGTCCGCCTCCAGAACCCAAACTGGGAGCTGATTCCATCAGACAGGAGCTGATAGCTGAAGGCTCTGCCTCCCATTCTGCTTCTAGAAACTCTGGGAACCACCAGTAGACCTGCAGTCTGAGAGCGAAGGGCTCTGCTAGGATAATATGGAACAATCAGGTCTTTGAGATACGATGGAGCCTGATCATTAAGACTTTTATATGTTAGAAGCAGGATTTTAAATTGGATCCTTGATTTTACAGGAAGCCAATGGAGAGAAGCTAATACTGGAGAAATATGATCTCTTTTATTGGTTCCTGTCAGAACTCTGGCTGCAGCATTCAGAACCCGGCCTGCTTTATGTTCGTACGTTACAGTGAATCTGTCCCCAACGTCCGACAGTAGTTTACGCTCTCTTAGTGGATAAAAGGTTCAGCTTAACTCAGGATCAGAACTTGGATCCTAAATCTGTCCTCTGTGTTTGTGAAGGGGCCAAATGCAACATGGCCGTGTTCAACGGCAACAAGCACGGCGGCGACGACAACTGCTTCCTGTTCCACTGCCAGACGGACCAGGACTGTCCGCTGACCAAAGCCCTGGACGGCATCAACACCTACGACATCTACAAAGGTACCGCACTCAGTGTCTAGCTCCACTTCACATCACATCCTTGACTTTAGAGGGTAATGACTTGAGTTCTCACGTCGATGGTTTCAGTCCAGCTGACGTTTCTGTTGCCGCCTCATGTCACTGCAGAGAATCTGTCTGAGCAAAACCACGTTACAGTTATAACACACGCTGCTGTGGTCTGAGGTTCTACCAATACGTTGTTCTCCAGGGACTCAACTCCAGGAACCGTCTAAGGAACCTGAAGGTTTCTTCGTTTTCTGAGTCTGAAGTCCTGTGAAGGTTCATCTAGTCCAGTCCGGTCTGGTCCGGTCCGGTCCGGTTCAGTCCAGTCCGGTCCGGTCTAGTCCGGTCCGGTCCGGTCCGGTCCAGTCCAGTCCAGTCCAGTCTCTGTTTTTATCACTTTAGTGCCTAAACTTAACGAAACAAGAAAAAATTAAATCAAGTCACAAAATACGAGTGAAAAACTCAGAGTCCGAGCCGGACAGAACCTCGGTGTTGTGGAGAAAGTCCAGTGACGAGGTCCGTCCCACCAGAACCTTTATCTCGTAGCTTGTCTTTATGATGCTGGAGCCAGAGAGCTGCTGATAAGACGTCTGGTGTGATGTGGACTAGAACAGCCCGTCCAATCTTATCAAACACCAGCACCGGTTTTATGGCACCGTCCATCCGTCATCTCTACACCTTCACCCTCACTAGGGTGGTGGGGGGGCGGAGCCTATCCCAGCTGACTCAGGGTGAAGGCAGGTTCACCTGGACAGGTAACCAGTCTATCACAGGGCTTCTATGGCGTCATTTTCAGCAAAACAAAACGAGGACATTTGAAGGTTGACATGTGCTTCTCACCATCTCACATATACACGACGGATATCTTTTAAAAAACAAAACAAAGAAACTGTGTTTGCAGTCGGAGGTTTTTAAAAATGGCCGCTGTCAAATCCCAGAAAACAAACTGACAGTCTGCAGAGAACGTTCTGACCAGTTCAGTGGTTCTTCTGTTTGGAAACAAGTCGGATCCGTCTGATGGACGTAGCTGTGTGCTAATGTGCTAGCTGCATTCTGCTGCCCCCTGCTGGACGCAGCGCCTCCGTCATCTCATGTTGTTTCTTCCTGCAGGTTTAAATCATCCAACCATTGTGAGAGCTGCCACCACCACAGCCACCTCCAGTTCAACCAGTTCAACCTCCAGTTCAACCACCACCACGCCAGCACCAACAACACCGACAACAGCACGATCTACAACAACACCAACTACAACCACCACAC